AAGTATGACTATTATTACATAAGTGGGTCCTTCACCGATACATGATTAGTGATTTATCTTTGAGAAAACAATATAATGGATGAGATATAAATACAAGCTACTCAAGTGTAAACACAAAATACATAAAAAGGCCGGCTGATTTGTCATGAGAAAATTCATAAGAGATGGTTTGAACAAAGTTCAATGAAGAAGAAAAGAACAAATAACTTTATTGTGCAACACAAAATAAAAAATGTACAATGACCTGAACTGATAATTATGTTATAAACTCTTTCTTTGTAGTAAAAAATAACCACGACAACACTTGCATATGATTGTTATTCAAGCACAGAAAGAAGAAAAAGGAGCGAAGAGTTTCTAAGGGTTTGTGGTTGTACCCAAATAAAGCACAAAATTACAACTCACGAACTCATGCTCACACAGACATTGCACCAAATAAAGCAAAAAACTATAATTACTCCCTCATATCCTACAAAACTATGTTCCACAAAAAAGTAGTGTTAAATGACCAATGTGGATACCCATTTCTTCCTAGTGTTATCTCGACAAGAGATTTTTGCAATAACTCATCAAGAGATATATGGATACCAATTACTCTTGTCTTGCTCTAGTCACCTAATACATGTTCAATATCATCAATAACAATGATACCAAGGCAGCACGAATTAGTTGTAGTAATCGGTCAGATATCCGCAAAATATCTTGTAACATTGTTGTAGCATCTCCTTAACAGTTCAAATTTCTCACAAATTTCTCACCTGAGTCTTTTTTCCGTGATTTTTTTGTGGGTAGTTTTTCAACCAATTAACTCCCAAAATTCAACCCCCAAAGTAGATCAAAGCTTTTGTTTTAAAAAAGGGGGAAAGATAAAACTAGGCCTCAAGCTTTGGATTTCTTTCCTTTCACTTCTTTGGTTGGTGCTTGCAAGAAAGGAAGAAATGTCTCCCCACCCATGTACTCTCGCAACACTTCTGGTACCTCAACACCATCCTCCTTCTGGTAGTTCTCAAGGATGCAGCACATTGTTCTTTCTGTCGCTGTGAGGGTAGAGTTCAACAAATGTACGTATTGCTTTGCCTGCTCGTTGTTCTGCATCACATTTGCAAGAGGAAAACAATCAGAATTTCAAAGCAACATTAAAAAAGAAATTCAAGAATGTATTCAACCTGCTAAAAATTATAATAACTTGTAGAGTGAAGGATGCACCTCATATTGTCATAAAGTGCAAATAGAATGAATTAGTTCTGCCTCTCACTCTTAAAGTACATCAATTATGCGTTTGCTATACTATGCCTAAATTTTCTTAAGAAAAAATTGCCCTTTCATTCTTTCAATGGAGAAAACCCTTGACAGTAGTCAGAAATGTAGAGATGGACAAGGCTCAGTTCAGCAATAATAACAAGAAATGCAGTTCAGCATCTACCTTCTTCTGCCCATAGCGAATTTCTAATCTCCTTGACTGATAGTCTGTACAATTTGAGCAGGAGACAAGCTCTCTGTAAGTACTGGATGAAGGAAACCACCCTTCCAAATCATACTTCTTTGCAGCTGCATCATTCAATGCACCAGAAACGATGGCCACAACTTGATAGGGAATTTTTAACTGTAAAACAAAGAAAGGTCAGATCTTCTACGGCACAAAAAGGCATCAATAGAGGAGATTGTCCAGGTGTCACAAATGGAGACCCATACACAACTCCGCATATTCTTTGTCCCAAGTGGCAGAGTTTAGCATCACCAAACCATCAGGCTCATGAATCACTTGTTTTTCTTGAAATATTGCAAACTAGCAGGATTAACTATGCAAGTATGTCTATGGCACAGAATCTAGCATCTTCAGACCAAAATTATGTGCAGTAGGTTCACATATGACACCTTCAGCCCAAAAAAAAAAGGTTCACATATGACATAACACAAGGAAGAATGTAAACTAGAAAAGGTAACATAAATAAAATTAAAATTGTGAGCAAAAGGGTAAATTTCACGGACACCCCCTGGAATAACCTAATAATAAGGACACCCCCTAGAGTTTCTGAAATATCACTGCCACCCCCTGTCAGATTTTGTCTTTTAACGAAATAGACAGAAATTGTATTTTTACACAATTACCCTTAAATTTATCCTCCATTCTTGGGCAAGCCATTTTCACTCTCTTTCACGCACACCATCCAACAAAACTAATGAATTTCATCAATTTCAAATTTATTTTTATTCAATTACCATTCATGTCATCCATTTAAAATTTAATTTCATCAATCCAACCCCAAATTAAACATTGAATCTCATCACATTAAGAATGAATGAACATTTAATTTAAATTAAGAATTCATTAATGAAACCATAGGGGGGTGTCAATTAAATTTAGGCAAGAAAAAAAATATATTCCATTATTTTCGTAGGATAACAAGGACAGAAAAACTTATACCATCTTATAGAACTCCTCAGAGTTTTTGAGCATTTCCTCGTGCATTTCCCAGGAGTCGTTGCCATTTGGGCTTGTAAGGCAAAACTGTTCCACTTTCTCAAACTGATGCACTCTGAAAATTCCAAGAGTATCCCTTCCATGCGAACCAGCTTCTTTACGGAAGCAAGATGAATATCCAGCATACCTGGCATATTGTGCAGTATTAATTGACAAAAGTAACTGCCATTCTTTTGTAATTTGTGAAGGTCCTTTCGCACCCAGTAAAGCAACTATAGTTAATAGAAAATGTTCTAACCTTAATGGCAATTGTGAAGGATGAATCCAATCATCAAGATGATAAGCACAAAGTGGCTGTTCAGCAGTAGCAATCAAATACTTATCCTCTCCCTCACCAGTTACCTATTAAAAAACAACTAATTAGGCCTATTTTGGCAAACAAAAATTGAAGAATAATTATGCAACCACCTTCATTTGAAGCAAGACAAACCTTATCTATTAAAAATGTCAGCATTACACCACGCCAATGGACTTGGCAAAAAGGCACCACAGAAAATACCTCACTTAACTCATAAGGCAGTAATATGAATTGCAAACGTAAATCAATAAACAGTATATGCAGAACAAATATTTTTGTTAGATAGTGAAGTTGTAGGGTCTAGAGAGGCGAAGAGAACTTAGAGAAGAGAAAGATAAGTAAGAATATGTCTAGGGTTGTGTATCTCACCACATAACTAATCCCAGCTATTATATGAAAACACAAGTACTAAAAAACCCTTAAACTAAATAAAGCATAACATAGCACTCCCCCTCAAGTTGGTGTATAGACATCTCGCATGCCCAACTTGCAAACAATAGGGTAAAAAATCTTGCCACTAAGTCCTTTAAGTGAAAAAGTCTACCAGCTGACCTTCTGATTTCACAAATGGCATAGAAATCAAACCCTTGTTCAGCTTTCTTTGATGAAGTATCGATCAATCTGAATATGTTTGATTCTATCATGTCAAACTGGATTATGAACAATATTGATATATATTATCACACTATAGTCTCATAGGTCCATCATTAGAAATTCCCAACTCTTCCAGTAAAATTTGGAGCCACATAAGCTCACAAATTCCACGAGCCAGCCTTGTACTCAGCCTCTGCACTTGACTTAGCTACTATGGCTTGTTTTTTGCTTCACCAAGTAACAAAGTTCCCTCCTTTCAAGCTGCATTAACTTGAAGTAGACCGAGTGTCGTCTACTAAACCTGCCCAATTTACATCAATAAATGTTTCTAGTTTTAAGTAACCATGATTTGAAAATAAACTACTCAAGATGAAGAACTCAAGGATTATGCATGAATTGATTGACAATAACCACCGTTGAGTGTGTGAGAAATATATCAATCTTAGTACCTTTCTTTATCCACTATATCACCAAAGACATTACTCAATCGATAATTTGCTTTAATAGGCAAATTAAAAGGCCTATAACCCAACATACCTGTTTCTATAAGAAGATCAGTAACATACTTCCTTGGTAAGATAAAAATACCTTTATTTGATTTCACAACCTCAATCTCAAGAAAGTATCTCAGTGGATTCAAGTCTTTGACTTTAAATTCCTTAGCCAACCGAACTTTCAATTTAGCGACTTCTTGGTAGGGTAAAACTAATAATCAAACCAAGCTACTCGGACTCAGCTCGAGCTCAGCTCATGTTCTAAATAAGCTAAACTTGAGTAATTTGTTAGCCTCGTTTAAAAGGTTCGAGTTGAACTCAACTCATTTATATGGAAAATAGTTGAGGTTTGGCTTGTTTTGGGCTCAGCCCAGATTGAACTCATTTTCTAAACGAGCCAAAATTGAATAATTTTTTAGATTCGTTTAGAAAAACGAGCTCAATAGACTTGACTTGAGCTCACAAAACTCGGCTCAATTATTAGTCCTACTTCCTACACATCATCCCCGGTCATTACTATGTCATCCACTTATACAATGAGAACCGTTATCTTACAATCAACCCGTTTTCAAATTTTAACATAGCTTTAAGAAACCTGTCAAACTAAGCTCTGGGTGACTGTTTCAACCCATAAAGAAATTTCTTCAACTTACACACCTTCCCTTTCGTTAACTGAAATGAAAACCCTAGAGGGATACAATATATACCTCTTACATGAAGAAAAACATCTTCATGTCCAATTGCTTGATACTACAACCCAGGTTAACTGCACCAAAGAGAAGCACGTATAGAGTTCATCTTTGTCACCAGAACAATGGTTTCCTGATAAACAATTCCGTAAGTTTAAGTGAATTCCTTAGCAACCAGTCGAGCTTTGTACCTCTCAACTAACTCATCAGCTTGTTGCTTGACCATGAACACCCCTTTGCAACTAACTATCTTGCCCTAGTAGAAAGGCACACCAACTCTCATGTGTCATTCTTTTTCAGTGCTTTCATTTCCTTTATCATAGATTCTTTTCATTTAGAATTGGTGCGAGTGTCTTTCTAACTTTAAGAAATACAGAGGACAAAGAAGAGACAAAAGCACGATAAGATGATCATAAAGAATTATAAGAAACAAAGTTAGAGATGGGGTGTTGAGTGCAAGTTGTAACACTTTCTCTGATTGTAATATGAAGCTCAATATCATCAATTGGTTTATTGATGACCGAGAGTAATGGCTGGAAGTTGATAACTTGATAAATCAGTAGATGATGCTTAACCGAAGTTTGAGAATGTAATTCACTCGATGACACATGGGTATGCCGAGAATAAGTCTTCAAATTATCCTTGTCAAAACGAGCAGCAGAGGAATCACTAGTATCACCAATAGGTTGTGGCTACGTCTCCCTTTTACTAATATCCCACTAAATAAAGGACTTTTGACATACCATCTCTTACTTAATTGCAGCAGGCTCCTCCAGAAGAAATGACTGAGAAGTTAGGAAAAATGACTCAAATTCTCGAATGGTGACATCCATACTAACTCGCACCATCTGTGATGGTGGATGGTAGCACTTATACCCTTTCTAAGTAATAGAATAACCAATAAAAATACACCACGAGGACTTGGGGTCAATTTTTCGTCTAGATGATTTGGAGTCATGTACAAAACAAACACCCAAAATTTAGAAGGAAGAGAAGATATGGAAGGAATGGAAAAAATTCCAGAGAGAACATTAACAGGTGATTGAAACCGGAGAATACTCAAACGCAGACAATTAATAATATGCAGTAGTGGTGAAAACTGCATCCCCCAAAAAGCTGGAGGAACATTTATAATGAACATTAATGATCGAAAAACCTTAAGAAGGTGATGATTTTTACACTTAGCAACGCCAATATGTTCAGTTCAGGAGTATCTACACAAGCGATTTGATAAAAAATGTCATTCTTATTAAAATATGAATAGAATTCTCCATCAATGTATTCAGTCTCATTGTCACTTCAAAGAATTTGTATTTTAGCATCAAATTAGTAACTCCCCATTTTATGAAAGGATCTGAAGGAAGAGAACACTTCACTCTTAGTGCAAATTAAGTAAACTCAAGTAATACGAGAATGACAATCAATAAAGGTGACAAACCAATGACAACCAAAGATAAATACCAAACGAGGAGATCCCCACACATCAAAATGAATAACCATAAAAAGGCAGTGCTTCAATTATTATTAAAAGGATAAGATGAACGTTTATGCTTGTTTTTTAGTTGAACTTGTTTAGCCTCGATCAGTTTATGCTTGACAATTTTACAAGCATCACAAACAAAAAATTGTCTACTACATTAGTTTAGTAGACTAGGAAAAAAAATTTCTAAGACACCAAAAAAAGAATGTCCCAAACGTCTCTGTCATTGGTGGAAGAACAGAAGCGATGAACCACCATCTTCTTAAAGGGCTTGGAGTTAAGGATGAGGAACTTCAACATCCAAAAAATATACACCACCATGTGCTCTACTATTGAAAATGGTTTTCCCTGATTTTAGTTTCTAAAATATACGAGGAAAAAATGTAACTAAACGATTCAAGCAGTTTGTAATACTGCTAACAGATAAAAAGTTAATAAAAAAAAATTGGGACAAACAGAACACATGAGAGAGATATGGTGGAAAAACAATTAATTAAACATGTCCTAAAAATAGATAATAAAGATCCATCCACCACTCTTACGTGATTGAACAGTACCATATCGGCCACCATCCCGCCCACGTGTAGGGTGTCCAATCAGTTTCCAACAGAACTATCTAATGTGTTTAGCTAGAAAGCACAGATACGGACACAGATGCCGTATTTGATACGATACAGATATGGGGATACGGGAAAGTTCAAAAATATAGGACACGAGTAGAACAATATTAATAATAAGAGTGAGCAAATATTAATTTTTTGATTAAAATTGAAATAGATTAAAATAAATATCGACCATTTTCATCTAACATCATTACATTCAT